GATGTTTTTACAATGTTTGTAAGATGATGTCAACAAGTTCTTATCGTCGGCATTATGTTAAATAAATTTTGTATGCGGAGTAAACGCAATGAATACTGTAGATGAGGAACTTTGCACTAGGATGAAGAATTAGAGTAAAATCTTTAAGATCATTGCATTACAGAAAATACATATAGAAATACTTAATATCGAAGTTGTCTCCCCTCCTCTCAAACATTTCCGTCTGGGTTACGTTACAAAACGTTAACAGCAATATTTAATCTATGAGTATTGATGTAGAAATAAAATACTTAAATAACTAATAATCGAAGTTTATGAGAACCCCACTAGTACCTTCACAATTACCCACCCTACTGTACCTTTAACAACATAAGGCAGAGGGATGAATTTTTTCCCGGATTTTGCCAACTGTTCGATATTGTACCCCGGACTCGGGTCGTTGGAGAGCTTCAGGACACGAGCGAAGCGATCGAGGCAGTTTCCGACCGCGATGTCAATCGTTTCTCCGAAAATGCGGTAGCGACGTTTCAGATACGCGATCACCTGAGTGTTACCGCCACTGACGTATAGAACGACTGGATTTATGGCTCCAGTGATCAATCGCCCCATTTCAATGTGTGCTATGCAGTGATTAACGCCAATCAACGGTTTCTGCCATAGCTTTGCCACCGTTCGAGCTACCACTGCAGTACTGACCAACGGTGCACCCATGCCGGGGCCTAAAACAATACATAAAATAAGAATAAGAGAAAATAATAATATGCGAGATGCTTGGATACTGAAGTAAAGTACTATCCATGACTAAGATCAAAGTGGCAACAACCCCTCACAAGCTCATAAACTTATTATCAGGCATGAACAGCTGACACCTGTCGCTTCTAAGGCTTATAAACTACAATACACTTAAGTCTAAACGAAAAGAGCCACGATATCTGATTTAAGGAGTCTTTATGTACACCGTAGCTCAACCTAATGTAGAGCAGCATATGGTCTGTTTAGCGTAAAGCAACACAAGTGATTTATTAAGATAATCAATCGTTATTGACGTGTAGACCTTAAACTGAAGGACTTTAGAGTAAAACTTGCAAAGTTACAATATGAATATATTTTCCCAGCTGGGACGCATTTGCATCGCCTAATAATGCAATGCAACGTTAAACATTGTTAACATTAAATTTAACTTTAAATACCACAAAAATAAATGACTTTGAAATTGATTGATATATAGAAGTCAACGCGGCAAAATGCCAAAACAGCTATGGGGAGTGCATAGGAGAAATGGAAATACCGCATTCAAGGATGACATACACGTCATGACGGAGAAGGTGGGTTAAGGCGAATGAGCGTGAACGATGTGTGGTCAAAGCCTCCGGCAAGGAAACAAAGTTTTGCCCCATCCCCTCCCCTCAGCCAAGTTAAGGAACAGTAGGAAAAAACTTAAAGGACTGTGCAGCACACTGCACAAAGAAACGCCCACTTCCCTCTGTCAACAAAAATTAGCATGGATAGTGAAAGAAAGTGTCTGAACAGATGATTCAAGGAAAGATGAATCGTCCAGTCCTGTGATAATGTCAACCGTTACAAATGAAACAGACTCAGTGCAGGTAGGATAGGTCTTATCGCCTGTTAGGCGAAGGCAAATCCGCTGCTGCAGATAACACCAACAACAATCGAATACTTCAAAATTCTTGTCAAAAAAGACTGTGC